AGAGAGAGAGAGAGAGAGAGAGAGAGAGAGAGAGAGAGAGAGAGAGAATGGATATGTGTGTGGGCTCGCACACATATGTGTGTGTCTCTGCAAGTGCACGTGTATGAGTGTGTCTTCCTGGGTGTGTTTGTAAAAAGCACTCACCGAGCTCTAACGGGTGTGCAGTTGTTGCTAAGAGACAGGCAGCAGCACCGAAACAAGCATGGGGGGGGGGGGGGGGGGGGGTGAGAGGGAGGGGGGACATGGAGGGGAGAGAGAAAGAGAGAGAGGTGGTGAGGGGAGGAGCTCCACAGAGAGGTTTAGACAGATAAGAAGAAGAGGGGATAAAACAGAGAGAGATGGAGAAAGTGTATGTGAGGCCAAGAGAGAAGAGGGGGGGGAGGGGGGTTTCAGTGGGAACCGGTGTGTCATGGTGTATTCCAGGTAATAAACGTCTGTCTGGCTTCATCATTGAAACATTACACATCACATGACACAGCAGCACTTTATAGTGGCCACTGAACTGTAAATATTTGACACTCACTGTAAATACTTAATCATGAATTCTAGGTCTCTAAGTATTTGTTTTTCTACGTATTGGCGTCTATATGCGTAGAAAAAAAATGAAATAGAAATGTCTTTGTAATGCATATTGATGTGACGTTTGAGGATAAAAAAAACAACTTTATTCATCTCCAGCAGCATTACAGAACATCAGAATGAACATAATTTAAGATAAGCACAAACTATATCGTACCTTGACATCACTGCTGTAGTCAAGACCACCTAAACCGAGACCAAGTCAAGACCAGGACAACAGTGTATCCAGACCGAGACAAGACAAAGACCATGGGGGACTGAGACCAAGTCAAGACCAGGATCAGACCAGTTTGCCGTTTTGGTATAGAGGCAGACTGCGTACTTTCCACTAAACTGTCCTTTCTTTATGTTTCTTTTCTAAGTGCAGATTAAAGTTTGACGTGGTCCCAGGTGTCTCAATCAATGTTACATTGCAGAATTTACATACTGCTGTGTATTTCCTTTTAAACTCTTTGTCGTTTAGCTATATTTCAATTCTACAGTAAAGACTTTGCTGACATCTCCTCCACCTCTTGTCTTCCGAGTTCACTTTGTTGTAGTGGGTGTGAAGGGCGGCAGGGAGGGGCGACAGCCAATAATAGTAACAAATATTTCAAATTACAAATGCGTAAAAAGTTATTGGTTGCATTTGAAGCAGGAAGTTTTACATACAATCACAGTAATGATAACGAATAAATCAGACAATGCACTGGCTATTTAGTGATACCCCCAGAGTTGTGGTCATGACAAGACGAGACATTGAAAAAGTCAAAATCTTGAGTATTAGGACATTATCTTGAACCGATACTGTTGATTGACAGGTTGTATTTAAAGGCTTTTATCTTTCTTCCCACTGAGGGGAGAAGGTTTTCTATATTTACTCGATATTCAGCCAAAATGTGTAAAGTTTTAATTCAACTCAAATAACAAAAAAAACAACCAAAAGAAAGCAAAGTTGAAGATATCTGGTCTTGTCTCGACTGCAGAGCGTTGTAGCCCAACAGGCTGTAACACTGAACAGCTAGAATTTAAGCACATCCAAACTTAACAGACCTGGGTTTTTGGAGAGCTTGCGGTGTGTGTTAGTGTGCCAAAGAGGGGCGAGGAATGTGAGACACATATATCGCACTACTGGAGCCGGCATGCTTGCACACAAATTACCAACAGCAACCTTCAAAGACAAAACTAAACTTTTGGGGCTTTGGTGAGCTGCAGCTCCATGCAAACTCACGTCAGTCAAACAGAGACAGTCCAACTAACACTTGCACTTACACACAGACCCTCCCCCCCCACACCCACTCTCCTTCACTCTGACCTCTCTCCTCCACCACCCAAAAAAACCCCCCACTCCCACCTCCCCAGCTGCAGGAAATTCCTAATGATCTCCATCATCAGTGTGCGTGCTGTATCTCCTGCCAAGAGTAAGCATGTGCACGCACGCACGCACGCACGCAACAAACACACACACAAAGCATATAAATGAGCAGAGAGCAACACATAAACCATATGCAAACAAACAAAAAGGCAGACAGACGTTCAGACGGACAGACACACACACATCTAACGTAAACAGACTTCACACAGACCAGATAGTGGCTGCTCAGCCAAGGATGTACACGGGGGACTGGAAGAAGTAGCTCCAAACACTAGTCAACAAAAAACCAGGACCCCCCACCCCCGTCTGACTGTCTCTCTCCTGTTGTTTCTGCAGGAACCTACATGCTGTAGTTATTTTAAGACGAGGAGGACTGTATTACCCCTTCCTCTTCCTCATACACCCCCCTCCTCACTTCTCTTCCTCACTGTTCCCTCTCTCATCTCCCTAGCAACCCCCCCCCCCCACACACACACACACACCTCCCGCCCCTAGTTTCTCTCCCACAACACACGCTCCCACTCCCCAAATCATCTTCAGCTCAGCCTGACACTCTCTCTCCTCTCTCTCCTGCAGGCAGTTTCCTGGCGCTGCTAATGGCCGCCCCTCCGTCAGGTCATGTGACTAACCGCGCCAGCTGGGAACAGCTAGGAGTGTGCACATGTGCGCACTCAAAAACACATACGGGATTAAGCACAAACAAGGATAGGCAGGGATACGTCTAGAAACACACACAAACACATGCAAATACAGGAGGATGAAACCAACCACTTAGGTGAAAACAGAAAAACTCCCACTTAGAGTTCACACACACACACACACTGAAACACATGTGTGTACTCAATGTAGTCACGCTGGCGAGAACTCACAGGCGCACTTAATATCCTCACACACAGTCACGCATATCTACCTCACACAGAGGACACACAAACCAGATGCTTGGACCCCGACACACACTCAGACCTTGAGGCCAGTGTTTTGGAGAGGGGCCTCTGTGCTGCGGCCCTGACTTCCTGACTCCTCCTCCTCCTCCCTCCGTACTCCTGTTCCACAGTTGCTGTGGGAGACGCTGCTGCAGCTCCCGTTGCCAAGGAGAAGGCTGCTGGCTGTTTGAACAACAATGGCCGCCTTGTGAACATTCCAACTGTAGGTACTGACAGCCCATCAGCCGCAGCCTTAACATACACAGCGCTCAAAGCGCACATGTAGACGCACGCATGCTGCTCACAATACACACCGACGCCACGCCACTGTACTGTACCTCTCGGATTCTTGGACTCGCGCCTGAACGAGGTAACACACACAAACACAACCAGGCATGCACAAAGAAACACACACATACACGTCTGTGCACGCTCTAAGAAATTATGACTTCTGCTGAGAGGATAAGAAACCCTTCTTTCCCTCTGTGTCTACCTGCATCTCCCGACCATCTCTCTCTCTCTCTCTCTCTCTCTCTCTCTCTCTCACACACACACACACACACACACACACACACACACACACACACACTCAGTGCGCAGTACATTCATCCATCTTCCCCCTTCTCCCCCACTACTCTCTGTCTTTTTCTCTTATCTCTTTCTCTCTCCTCCCCCTCCACAGCCTCCTGCTTTCACTCTCTCACTCGCTCATCCCTGCCTCTCTCTCCCTTTCTGTCTCAGGAAGTGTGTGTTCTCACTCTCACGCACACACACACTATCATCCTGGCACACACACCACACACACATATGTGGAGGACACACATTCACACACAGAGAGAGAGAGGCACACACAATCTCTTTCTCTCCTGGAAGGTAGCGAATCTTTTCGTCCCTTGGGGGCATACACTTCCTTAGAGAAGGAGGGAAATGGGAAAGAAGAAAGGGAACTAAAAAAATAGAGTAGAACGGGCAAGAGAGGAAGAGGAGGAGGAAGGAGAGGAAGGGAGGGAGAGAAGATAGGAAGGGAAGAGGGTGAAAACTATATTCACGGCGGGGATTTATAGACAGACCTCTGAGTGCTCTGATTATCTGTTCATATTGATGGGACGACATTGAAGGCACGCTGGTGGAACGTTGAGACGGTGCTGAAGCCAAATTGAGTATGTGTGGGGGGTGGGGGGGGGGGGGGTGTTGAGGAGAATCACTAACAAGTCTCTGCTTATCCTCTGACTCACTGTTTTTAACACACATACCCCGACACATGTGTATGCACACTCACACGCTGCTAAAAACAAAGATAACTCTAACGCACAACACAGAACATGTGTAAGTATGTTGATCCGCAGATAGATGTGTGTGTTGTGTGCCAGACACCGAGAGATGCTTTTGTGTGTGTGTGTGTGTGTGTCGGCGTGTTTTCCCCATCTCTCGCTCCTCTTTAATAATTGAGCTGATTC